CCCCCCCCCCCCCCAGCCCCACCAAACGAGAGCTGAGGGCTGGGTCTGACCTGCTCAGTCACCTCCAAGGGGAGCCAGGCTAACAGCTCTGCACAGGCAGAGTGGCGGCGAGGCAGGGACAGGACGGCCGGCGTGGAGCAGAGGACACAGGCAAGCAGAAGTCACTGGCTGTGCCCAGGCCGGATGAGCCCAACCCTCCGGCCTAGGGGGACCTCTCGGTCCAGTCCCCATCCCTGATTCCCCCCAGGACTGCACGCACCAGCTGGGACGTGTGCTGCTCAGCCGCTTCCAGCTGGATCTTGATCTCCGGACATGCAGGGTCCCCCGACTTGCCGGCGTCTGGATGGGGTGACCGCGAGGGGCCTGGAGAGGGGGGCAGGAGGGAGCCACCTCACTGGCCGCGGGGAGGCACCAGGGAGACGGGTATGGATGGGTGGTCGGCACTGGTTGGTGCTCCCCAACCCCGCCAAGTCCCTCCCCCAGGGAACCCACCCTCACTCCCTTCTTTTGTCCCCCATCATGCTCCAAGATTCTTCCAGCAGCCAGCAGCCCTCCAAGCCACCCAATCATCTTAGGCTCAATGATGACCCCTCCGTGACATGCCCACCACCTGGGGGATGAGAAGTGGTCTCCACCCTCAGTGCCCAGCCCTGACCCCTCCGGCCATAAGAATGGCCCTACTTGGCGGGGAAGCTGCTCCAGCCTGGTACCTGGGGAGCTGCCCCCACTCGTGGTGCTGACGCTGTCCTCCAGCCACGTGCTATAGATGAAGGAGTCCCGCTTGTGCGGAGTCCCTGAGGACGACATGCTCTCCTGGGGGCACAGGGAGGAGAGTAAGAGGGGGGTTAGCCCTGGGCCCCGGCCCTGGCTTGGCTCCCCTCCCCTCTAGGCCACCTTTGCCTCCCTGCGAAGAGGACAGGGCCCACCGTCTGCTCCAGGGAGGCCACAGCAGGACAGAGTGGGAACAGGCACACCGCACACGCCCATTCATTCATTCAACAATCATTCACTGACGTTCTCGTGGGCCAAGCCCCCGAGAGGCATGGGGCCGGGTCCCCGCCCTCGGAGACCGAAGTCTAAGAGGCGAGACAGCTGGGAAGAGACCATGGTCATCATCCCAGACCTGGCCCATCAGGCAGGGCCCGTCTGCACTGCTCCTTGCTGTACCTGAAGCACCTGGAACAGGACCCGGCAAGGAACAGGGGCCCAGTGCAGGTGTGTTGAATGAAGAGTGACAAACGGGGGCTAAGGGCCAAGCCCAGGGTCTGTGAGGCACAAAGAGGGACTAGAACATCAGGGAAGGCTTCCAAAAGGAGGCGATGTGAGGCTGAGCCGAGAAGGGTGAGCAGGACTCAGCCAGACAAGGAGGAAGGAGGAGGCAGTGGTGTGCTCCAGAGAAAATGGCTCGTGCAAAGGCCCAGGGGTGGAGTAAGCCTCGTATGTTTGGGGGACTGCTAAGGAGTGCAGAACAGCTAGAGTGGTAAGAGATGAGGCTGAGGAGGGGACGGGGGTCTTCAAAGGTCTCAGAGACTGGGCTCTGGGTGCAGGAGTGGGCCCCCTCCCCCCGCGCTGGGGAGCACGGAAGGTCAGAGTAGGGGAGGGTTAGTCTGCATTATTCCTTCTGGCTGGGTCCCCCGATCGCATCTCAGCCACACCCAGGCTCATGCTTCTACCAAAGAGCCCCCACTGCAGGCCGCTGTGGGGCACCCCACTTCCTGGGCCTCTCACCAGGCCTGTGTCGTCCCCGTCCACACCCTCCGTCTCCTCCACCACGCTGGCGAAGCTGCTGGCACTGGACGAGGAGCAGGAGAAGTCCTTCAGCGCTTCTGCTCTCTGGGCTGCTGTCTCCGCTCTGCCACAGACAGCACCCCATCAGCCAGCACCCGCTCGGGGCCCCTCCTGGGCCAAGGCCCCGGTCCTCTGCCCTCCGGGCCCAGGGAGGCCTGCCTACAGCCCGCCCAGCGCCTTTGTGGTTGCTTTATAGCTCCCCAGGCCTCTGAGCCTCCTCCTGCCTCTGCCCTTCGTAATATGCGGATCTGGTCCGGTCCCTCCCCTGCTCAAAACCCTCTCAGGGCTCCCACTGCCCCAGATGAAGTCTCATTTCCTTGACTGGGTGCCTGACAATAACTGTTAATAATATTACCACGTAGTGCACATTTGCTCTGTGCCAGGCACTGTTCCACGTGTTTTTAACCCGAATTGTCCCACTGCTATCACTATTGGACCCATCTTACAGATGAGGAGACACCAAGGCACAGAGAGGGTAGGCACACAGTCCAAAGTCACCCCGCCACAGGTGGGAGAACAGACGGGACCCAGCTTCCAACTCCACAGTCTGCTCTCAGCCCTCCCCAATTTTGTTCCATGCTCAGGCCTTTGTGTTTCCTGATGGGAGCCTCACTCTTCCCCTCAAATCCCCCAAAGCTAATTAATCTTTCAAAAATCAGCAAGGGCCCCCTCCTCAGGGAGGCCCTCCCTGATTCCTCCTCGCATGGTAGGGTGGCCCTCCCCACTCTGGGTCCGGCACACCTTGTCTCTCACCATCCCTGCCACCCTTTCCTGCTTCTCTGTTCACCTGCCTGACTTTTCATCTGGGCTGAGTCAGAGTCAGCAAAGAAGGGCTCAGCCAACAAGAGCTGAATGGAGGAGCAGCCTGCTTGCCGGCCTCCCTGCTTCCATTCCTGCCCTTGCCCCAACCCTTCACGTGGGCCTGGCCCCTCAGTCACTCGGCTCAATGCACTGCCCTTCTTCCATCCTTCAAGCATACCTCAGGGCCTTTGCACTGGCTGTGCTTCTTATCTGCAGCCCTCTTCCCTCCCCCCTTTGCCAATGTCTTGCTTGAGCACCCATCTGACCCCCCCCCACCCAAGTCATTCTTCATCGCATCCCCTGCTTTGTTTTCCTCTGACCATACCTCCCTGGAAATAGCTTACTAGGTTATGTTACACTGGTTGTCACTCCATGCATGCCCAGGCCACCAATGTATTGCAGAGCGGTGGTGGGTGGGTGTCAGAGGAGGACTGGAGAGAGTGCCCAGGCCTCCCCAGCACCCTGGTGTGGCAGTGCCAGTGCTCCTGGCATCTCCTGGCCCAGGCAGGGATGGAAAAAATGAGCCCAGCACTCCCAAGCCCTGACCCGGTGAGCCCTGAGCCCCAACCTACCTGTTCTTGGTCGTTGGCATCTCTGGGGAGCTCTGAGTGGAGGAGTTCTCTGACTTCGGCTCCTGTGAGGCGTGCCCGCTGTCTGGGGTCTTCTGGCCAGCCGGGGGGCTCTCCCTGCGGGGCACACGGGGGCAGCAGGGGGATTCATCACCAGGCCTGGCATCAGGGTAGAATGAGGCCCAGGTGGTGAGAAGAGGTGGTCATGGGCACCTCCTGCCTCATCCCCGCACCCTGTGCCCTCAGAGGCCAAACCCAGAGCAGTCCTTGCGGCTAACTGGCCAGGCTTGGGCAGGTACCCGGAGCACCTTCATAGGACAGGACACCCCCGAGTCCTCCTCTCCATGGGAGCAGGTGTCATTGTCCCTTTTGGATCAGGAAGCTGGAGCCCAGAGATGGGAGGGAACCTGCCCAGGATCACAGCTAGAACATGCCAAAGCCAGACGAACCTGGGATTTGCAGGATTCTGGGCTCTCGCGGCCATGAGGACTGTGCCAGCACCATTCCTGAGCCTCAGTGTGCCCACCACCCTGCTTCGCATGCACAGCACCACCCCCTGCACCAGCCCCATGATGTTGGTTGTGTTCTTATCCTCGTTTTTCAGACTGGGACAGTGAGGCTCAGAGAAGTGCAGTGACTTTCCCAAGGTCACACAGCCCCATTGTGGTAAAGATGGGATTCATACCCAAGAACTATCCTCAGCTTCCCAGGAGCTGCCATGCTGTGAACACGGCCTGCTGCCCACCGCTGCCCACACAGATGTACTCACAAACCCCCACAGACTAGCCGAAAATCCCAGCTCTGCCCCCCACTGGCTGTGTGAGCTGGGCAAGCCCCGAGCCCGCTGACCTACAGCATCCTGGTGTGCAAGGTGGGACCCCAAGGAGCCAGCAGAACTGCTGAGCAGATGAAAGCATTTTACGTTAGGCGACGAGCTGGCGTGGTGCCTGGCACACAGCAGGAACTTGAGTGTACAGCTGTCACCAGGGAGGGACAGACGGGCAGAGGGTAGGCACTCCCTCCTGCCTGCTCTGCTTTACCGCCGAATGGGGGTCAGAGGAGACAGACCCGTCCCGGCCGCCCCGCTCCACCCACCTTTTCTCCTGCACCTCCTGTATGTTCTCGATGCCGATGGCGCTGCTGCGGCGTGAGCCGAACGGACCTGACTTCTTCCGCGTGGGGCTCTTCCCAGGGACAATCAGTGACTGCGAGGAGAGCCCCCAACTCAGTGCCCACCTGCCCTGGGAGCCCTGGTGCCCCCACATGCCACCCTGAGCCCTGCTGCTCCAGGCCCTGAAGCAGAGGCAACGAGCAAGAAAGAACAGGAGAAAACGTCCATCTCCAGAGAAAGCCCTTCCACTGCACAGAGAGCGCCCCCCGCCTCCCCCTCCCCCGAGATCACCCTGCAGGCTGGGGCCCAGGGGGCTGGCAGCCACTCCGCTGGGGTGGGAGAGGCCCAGTCCTCACCATGGCTATCCCCCCACCCAGGACTTCGTGGGACCTGCAGCCTAAGGTCAGTGAGGAGTGGGTATAGCAACCAAGCCCATACCCCATGCTGGGGGAGGTTCTGGGCCAGCAGTTGACAGATACCCCATTTGCACACACACAGAAGCAGGCCCCCGTCTTCTTGGGGAAATCAGGAAGGTGGGCCCCAGGGAGGCACGAAGGGCAGGAACCCCAGACCAGCTCATGGTGTGGAGGGGGAGCCAGGTCAGAGGAGAGGGATGGAACTTCATGCAGAACTGGCGATATTGGGGGACGTGCGGCTGGGCAGAGGGTCTTTGGGTGTCAGATCCTGGCAGGGACTGGACCAGGACCCCAGGGGCCAGGACAGGGCCAGGAGCCTCTGGCCGGGGGCACTGGCTCTGGCACAGGTACTAGGCCCCAAAGCAGGTGCTGGGTGCCATCAGAGCTGCGAGCACTCCGACCTGCATGCCCTTGGACCTGTCCCAGGGGAAGAGGGCAACATCCCCAATATGGCCTTCGTCCTGAGAGCGAGCAGAGAGCAGCGCGTGCAGGCAGCCTCCAGAGCCGCTGGCCCCACGGGCGACAACCTCTTCCACGGTTCCTATGCCTATGGCACTGCCCCGGCGTCCGAATCTACTCGCACTTTTCCCGGGAATAAGCAATGACTGGCAAGCAGCAGAGGAAGGGGCAGAGACAGACAGACAGACATAGAGGGTCAGAGAGAGAGAGAGATGGAGGGAAGGGAAACAGGGAAAAGAGCGAAAGACAGAGAAACAAAGAAGGGAGTGGGGCAGGGGATTGGGAGACAGAAAGAAAAGACAGGGGAAGGGAAGGAAAGGAGAGGGGGGGAGAGAGACAGAGACATGGACAAATGGACGGTTATACAGAAACAGGAACACACAGGAGGAGCCCACGAGAGGGGCACAGAGTGAATACAGACAGACAGACACAGAGATGGGAGGAGACAGACAGAAATGGGAAGGAAGGGGGAGGCAAAAAGGAAACGGCAAGGGAGAGAGTATGGCAGGGAGGAGGAGGAGAGGAAGTGCCAGAGGACAGGAGACACATAAACATGTAAGAAGTGCAGAGAGGCCAAGGGCAGGAGGAAAGAGGAGAGAACAAGGAGAGAGGAGAGAGCGGAAGATAAGAAGTGCAGAGAGGCCAAGGGCAGGAGGAAAGAGGGGAGAGGAGAGAGGAGAGAGCGGAAGGAAAGGAAGCAACATGAAGAGAGGGGAGAGTTGTGTAAAAACAAAAACAAAAACAAAAATGGGTCTGGTTACTGCCATGGTGGGTGCTGCTGGCCTGGCCCTGTCTCTGGGGCCCCTCTACAGCCACCCAGGGAGGCGGGGCCACTCCAGCAAGGAAATCTGGGTTGTGGGGAGGGTGGGCTTGGTGACCGCTGGACAGCAGAGGACCTTGCTCCCTGGCCAGGCCAGATCGTGGGGCAGGAATTGGGGTGGAAGGTCCCTCTCACCACAAGTGACACAGTCTCACAGCACTGAGCACAGGGCTTGGCATGCAGCAGTCAATAAATGATGGATGGAGGGATGGAGGGATAAAGAAGGGTGGATCGAGAGGGGGAGCAGAGCAGTGGGTGCAGTGCCAGGGGTGGCCACGGGGCGGCAGGAAGCAGATAGGCCCACAATTGAATGCCTTGCCCATCTTGTGTGCCCAGCACCCACCCTGAGTGTTATTAGTAGCAGAAACCCACAGAGCCTGGCAGACAGTAAGTAATCACACAGTAGGTACTCACTCCGGAGATGCTCACACGGAAGCCCACACAATTCCTGACACACATCAGGTAGCCACAGCCACATAGGCCCTGGCACACAGGTGCTCACACAGCAGCCTAGGGCCAGGCACACAGAAGTAGGTGCTCACAGAGTAAATGCTCACACAACAGCTCACTTCCTGACACATCAGGCTTAGCACACACGATGTGCTCATTCAGCGGTCCATTTTCTGACATACAGAGGTTCTCACACAACAGCCCGGGGCTGGGCACACAGTAGGTGCATACAGAGTTTATGCCCATACAGCAGCCCAGGACCTGACACACAGTAGGTGCTCACAGAGTACATGTCCACACAACAACCCAAGTCGCCATCAGTGTTTCAGAGCCAGGCACACAGCAGGTGCTCACACAGAAATCCAGGTCCTGACACAGAGTGCATGCCCACAGCCTGACACACAGTTGGTGCTCCCAGAAATTCAAGTAGGTGCCCGCACAGCAGCCCAACTCCCAGCACACGATAGACAGTAGGTGTTCAATGAGGAATGTGATACAGAGGCTGCCCCAGAGCTGACCCGAAGTCACCCTGAATAAGGGGCCAGGAGGAGTGGAGGGCCGAGAAGCTGGGAAGGAGACGGAAGGCTCTCGGCACCGCAGTGCATGGCCTGGGCCCTTGCCCCCCATGGAGAGCAGTGGCTAGACGGAGTCCAGAGCCCAGGATGGAGGACCCTGAGGCTGCAGGACCCTGGGGGAGGGGAGAGCTGAAGGCCCTGGGGAGGCACTCACTATTCCAGCGGCCTTGGCCAGGTCAGGGTTGTTGGGTGCGAAGCTCCCGCTGTGGCTGGTGGACACGGTGTTGGGCTTCTTGTTGCTTAGTCCCATGGCATCCATGGACTGGCTGCGGCTCCGGATGACCCGCTGTGAAGGTGGGGTTGGGGTGGAGGAGGCACAGGTTTCTTAAACACCTGCTCCTCAGGGAAACCCAGGCACCCAGGCACCTGGTTCCTCCCCACCAATGACCACTCTGTGTAAGAAGTCCTTTCCCATGAGGCCACACCAGAGGCAGGTCCACGTGGTGCCAAGGATAGTTTGGGCCTTGGCTCTGCCACCAACTCACTGGGTGACCTAGTGCAAGCCACTCACCCCCGAGCCTGTGAGCCTCTCGTGCGGCTGGGGTGAGTATTAAAGAAAGTCCTGGGTCACGGCCACCAGTGTGCACAGAGAGCCCTCCTGAAACCTCGGTTCTAGGAAGCCTTTCTTTTTTTATTATATTTTATTGATTTTTTACAGAGAGGAAAGGAGAGAGTTAGAAACATCGATGAGAGAGAAGCATCAATCAGCTGCCTCCTGAACACCCCCTACTGGGGATGTGCGCAACCAAGGTACATGCCCTTGACTAGAATCGAACCTGGGACCCTTCAGTCCACAGGCCAACACTCTATCCACTGAGCCACACCGGTCAGGGCTAGGAAGCCTTCCTAAAGCTTCTTGTCCTCCCTCCCTGCTTCTCTCAGCCAGGGCACCCTGAGTGCTTACTAGGGGCCAGGCACCCCGCATTGGCCCTCGCATGCCATCGCCCTGTGAGGCAGGCACCACTACACGCCCATTCACACAGGCTGAAACCCAAGCAGAAGCACGCCTGGAGCCCATATGTCAAACCCAAATCCTTAACTGTGGGCTCGGACCAATCCAGGGCCACCATCCAGCACCCACACGATGTGGGGTCACTGGAGCCCTCCCTCAGAGAAGACACCCACCCCCATGCTCACCCCACCCAGCCCCGTCTCCAGTGGGCAGAGGCAGGCCTCTCCTTGGGCCCCTTTCTCAAAGACAGTCTGTTCCCTTCAGTCCAGGGCAGGCCTGGGCAGCTGGCTAAGCCCCTTAAGCAAGCCCAGGGCTCCGGCTTCGTGGCCTGGGATGAGGTGGCCCGACCGGCCTGGCTGGGCACTAGGAGGATGGGCATCCTCCTCCAGTGGGTGGAGGAGACAATGGCAAGGAAGCCACCCCCTGCGCTATCCAAGGAGAAAAGGAACTCCCTCTGCCTCTCACTTTGGACAACAGTTGCTGAGGTAGATGGACAGAATTTTGTATTTTGCTCATTAACTTTTATTGTACTGATCTTACTGCTTTACAAATCATTGTCAACAACTGTATAAGTTGTCATTACCCTACCAGACAAAGAAACGGAGGCTCAGGGAATGATCAAGCTGGTAAGTGACAGAGCTGGGGTTTGAACCCAGGGAGTCTGTGCTCTTAACACTAAACTAAACCAGAGACAGGCAGGGTGGTCACACACGCTGAGGGTCACAGGCCAGGTCCCTCTCCGATGGCCACTTGGTTCACACGCCCCTCCAGGGCCTGTTTCTTTACTTCCATCAGGACAGAGGCCTCCTCCTCCTCTCTCCTCCACCTTCTGACCTGGCAGCCACCACACTGGCATCCGAGACACCCTATTGCCACCCAGACACTCCAACTTCACCCCAATCCTCAGGGAGCCTGGCCTCCAACCATTAACTCCTCCCTGGGCAGCTCCCCACTTTACAGTCCCAACTGCAAGTTCCACCCCGTCACAGAACACACTAAGTCTTACTCTAAGCCCACCCTCAAGCCCAAGACCACA